GAAAACCTGCTTTGCATATAGCGTAATTGTTTGTATACTGATCACTCAACTGATGTTCTTTCACTCCATATGCATATAAAATTATAGCTCTTCAGAAATTATTCAATAACACGTTTTTACTAGAAAATAGCAGTAGCTTTTAAGGTCGTTTTGGTAAAAATGAATTATAACAATATTATGGTGTTATCTATCTATCGTATATGAATAATTTATATAATAAACATTTTGTTTAGGAATTTTACATGAAATTTGATAAAATCGTTTACTGAAGTTACCAATTAAACTATTTAAACTTTGAGAGGTAACTGACCTTCATAATGTGGTTGCAATTGTGAACTTGTGCCATGAAACAATTGAGGTCTAAATAATGTTAATATAATAAATATTTTCTTTTAAGTAAAAAATATGTCAATAATATTTTATATTATTTCCTTATTTCAATTTTGTACTGTAAATTATTTGTTTTTATTTGAAATTTTAAACTTATTTTTTTACTGACTTTAAAGCAAAAATATATGAATTAAAGCAAAGCAAAGCAAAATTATTTCCTAAAACAGCAAAGATATTAAATAGAGCGTGAAATTACACTCGAATGTTTTAATTTAAAAAAAATATATTTAGAAAACATCTTTAGTCTTCTTTGATTCTAATATGTTTGTCTTTTAGATCTACCTTTCCATTTGATTTATGTATAATATGTGATATGTAATATGTGACCAAAAAATAGTAGTGTCTAAATAATTAACATGTTAAAATAAGTGAAAAGATTTTTACACAATTTTATTATTAAAAATTTTATGTAGTTTTCCTATAAAAAAAATTGCATGTACATAGTTTTAACTCAGTGATGTGTAACATTTATTCACATTATCTATTTTTACATATTTTTTTAAAATAACTCAATAGAAGTAGTAGTTATTGTGTCTATGATTTGTTGTTTATGTCATTTTCTTCTAATATAACAAAATAACAAGCTAACTTATATTCCTTAGTCAAATGACACGAAATTAGCCGATGGAGGAATCTTACGAGTTGATTTGATTTATGTACAAATGCTGGTAAATAGATGACATATGGATATACTATATTCATAACGTTTCTGTAACAAAGAGGAACTATTTACAATGCTTACAGTTTTTTTCTTTATTTTAAACTAGTTTGCTCATTATTTTCTTTATAATAAATAAGTAAAAGAACATTGAATATACATTTTTACATAAATTATAACTACAAACGGTCCATATATGTATATTATATGTAGATCACAAGACATAGTTTGTTAGACAACTGAATATGAAATAGCTGTAAGAAGATTCCATATTATTTCCATTTAAATAAACAAGCATTTAGGTTTTCGATTTAATTACCGTCTTTCAATTACATGTACCGATAGCAAAGAATGTTTAAAATTGAATTTTCTAAGAGATTAACGTTCCACACAATGTACTAGTAGACGCTTTGTTAAGTTTCTTAAGCCGTTGTATCGCAGTGTTGTCACGTACAACTCATTAAAGCTATCTGTTCTAATTAGACGTAAATGAAGTTTGATAGAATCCAAAACATTTTGTTATTGATATGGTGTTTCTGCTTTCTACCTTTACTTTACAATAAGGCTTTAAGATTGTCAAATAATTTATTACTCCACATGTTTGCGTTTCAGTTTTAATACTGAAACTATATTTAAACCACACATAAAATAAAAATTTCACAACTCAACAAATAAAACAAATAAATTATTGTCTTGTTAACAAATTTATGACTCACAGACATAATACAAGCAATAAATAATTATCGCCACTCCATCACCAAGCGAGTAAACATTTTGTAAAGTAGCTATTCTGACTATTTTCCACCATACAATGTGTTGAGAAAAGAAATATGACGCAATTTTGGTAATGCTTAGTTGTCGAGCCACGAGGGAATGAAAAATTCAAGGGGCCGGCGTACATTACGGCACCACATTGCTGAGAGCATTTTGTTCCACGAATATTTTTTGTTGGTTGTAACTAATGGCGTTCACTTGTAACCAGTGTTTAAGTTTCAATGAGGGATGCTGTTGCACGTTTTTTATAATTATAAATTCAAAAGTTATGGATTCACTATTGTTTTAAGGAAGATGTCATTTCCAATATTTAAATCATACATTTGAAATATAATTCATATTGATAATAATCTTGTTGAGCGATGCTATAAAAGAACAGGATAAGAATATCGTAATATATGGGTATCATAAATCGAAGTTATCTTCATAAATATCCTTTGACCCCCAGTAGGAGATCTTAAATCGATTCTACGTGATATGGAATACGAAAAATGTAAGTGTATTTTACTTGACATAAAATATAGTGAACAAATTAATATTGTTGAAAATTAATGTGACTAATAATTCTCCTTCATCAGAACAGTTAAATTCCATAATCGTCAAAATGGCTTACAAAGAAAACAACTTATTTTCGAATTGGATGTACGGCTTCATAGATTAATATTTGTAAAACGTGGTTATTTGAAACAACTTTTGAAGATTTGTATTAAAGTAAAGAATGAAAATAAATAAAAAATGTTTTCCTTTGACACGTAGCAATTCAATTTATCGAATCAATCCAATATCAATCACGTAACAGCACTAACATAAAATATCTCTTGAGACTGTGTGTTGTAGATCCCAGATTTTCATTTATACAAACGTTCCCAATATCTGTGAAACTATTTTTATTTCAATATACACTCAGTTTTCTATCAGGTATGAAATCATTTTTATGACGAACACTTATTTTTGTGAACAATTTATGTTATACATCACGTGTATTACAATTTTTGAGTTATTAAACGTTTTATAAATTATTGATTATTTTAGGTGTAAAATTCAAATTAATGATAATGGTATATGTCAAATCACACAAGACCCATTTCATGCAGCTACTATATTAGGTATATTTACCGAATCCACGTCTAAGTGCCTCTACCTACATCCCGACCTCTTCTTGATGGAGGCGGTGTGACGAGAATCGGAAATGGGATCGGAATGTTTTGCGGTTATTTCGATTGAACTCTGAAATGGGTAGAAATTTCAAACCATACCGGTTCTTAAACATATAGGTACTTCGACGGAAAAAGGTTCCTGTTAAGGAGTGAAAGGATGAGTGGATTTCGTCTAACTTTCCTAAAGTTGGGTAGTTCTCCACAATATAAAGAACTTATTCGCATTTCTATTCACGTTTGCTATTTTGAATGCTAAAGAGTAACAAATGGGAGGTCTTAAAGGTAAAATGTCATTTAAAATTTTAAATTTATAAAGGAATCTTTTCATCATAGAAAACGAATTCGCATTGAAAAAAATCATCACCTACTTCCTCTTTAAATAGAAAATTAATTACAAATTTTTAATGAATTTTGTTTATGAAATATTGTAAGTAACACTAAAGCCTACAGAATAAATATGGCATTGAAGTGTGAAGCAGTATAAATTCCATAAAACATATGTATATAAATTCAAAATTTACATTTAAATTAAGTGTATCAAGATTTCTATATATCCCTAAAAATTTTCGAAATAATATGTGTTTCAAATTATATAATAAATAACAAGTATGGTATGCCACCGCATTGCTTGAATATGAAAGTTGGTTCTTCGATTATATTATTGCGAAATATTAATCCACCAAAACTGTGTAACGGAACCAGATTGGCAGTGAAAAAGTTATTGCCAAATTTGATTGAAGCTACGATCTTAACTGGTAAATCAAAAGGAGAAGTTGTTTTGATACCGCGTATACCTATGATTCCAACTGATATGCCTTTTGAGTTCAAACGTTTACAATATCCTGTGCGTTTATCATTTGCGATGTCCATCAACAAGGCCCAAGGTCAAACACTTCACGTTTGTGGTGTGAATTTGGAGGAACATTGTTTTTCACATGGCCAGTTATATGTTGCCTGTTCCAGAGTCGGTACCCCCAGCCGTTTGTTTATTTATGCTCAAAATGGAAAAACAAAAAATATTGTTTATCCAAATGTTTTGGATTAAGTGTGTTGTAAATAGCTAGCAATTGATTTCGATTTTAAATAAAATATTTTTTTGATTAAATAAATGAATTTGATGTTCCGATTTGTTTATTTTATTTCACTTTATACGTAGCGAAGCACGTACCGGGCCGCTAGTTATATAATAAATAACAAACCAGAGAAGGAATATAAAGAAAAAATAATAATGTATTATATATTACGAATGAAATTCAGATTGTGAAGCTATTATACGGACGTGGCCAGTCAATATCTCGACAAATGTCTACAAATATAAGAAGTACAATGGAGTGTTGTTGACACAGCGGTGGCCGGGTATTATTGATGAGAATAATTTATGGCTTTGGTCGATTTCTGCAAGAGCGGTGGAATAAAATCAAAGCACAAAATGTATGGCTCAGTTTTAGTACCATTTTTGATTATTTCTCAGAGTAATTTGGCAATGAATTGTTTTTCAATTGGAGCATGAAGTATATTTAAAACAAATGTATTTTTTAATAGAAATGTTGAAATGGTGATAAGCTCTTAGTGTTTTATTATCTTGACAAATCAGTTCATATTACATTATACAAAATAATACTTATGCTTATATTTTTAGTCAAGTCATTATTTTTTGTATGCGTCTACATTATCAGAAATTAGTTTATCATTCTTATATAAAACTTTTTAGTTATGATCGTGACTTTGTAGTGTACACAAAAATATTTATAACGATATTAAAATAACAATAATTCAATTTGATTTCACGGTGTTCAATCTGTTGGTTTATTATGATGTCTTTATGTTAATTATTATTTATTAATATTTATTAGGCTTTTAGTAAGCATTCTCATGGTGTATCAATTACAAGACTTACATTATATTCATAGCGTAATAGATAGTCAGCACGACTGTGTTAGTTGACTTGTCCAATCAGAAATCAGATACTTTAAGCACCCACCCCTGATCTGCTGTAGTCGTTAATTAACATAGATTTAGGATTAGAGTATGTATTCCCAGATTTGTTTCCTAAACACTGAGTTTGAAGGCATTTGTACTTCAATTGCTTCTTTTCCCATTAGCAGATGACTTCCAGAGAAGGTAAGCGTCAGACGGGCAGCTGGCTGTAAAACTACAGCGATTGGTCGTACCCTGCAAGCAATGTTCAGAAAAGTTCATATGCAATCGACATCTGCAAAAAGTGGGCAAGGGTTGTTGGCTTATCCCGGAGCGAGCCCGGGACTTGAGATTCAAGTAAATAAGTTACCATATTAGGACTGCGTCTAAAACTTCTAGAAGTTTACAGATATATCTTATTGAAAAAAATATAAATTTAAGTTGTTTGCCAGCATTAATATGGAGGGAAACAAAAGATTAAGACCTAGACAAAGCATAAAATTTCTATAATCATGGAAAAACGGCGTGATAGTTGTCCTGGTGTCAGATGAATTAGTGACAGACTGATCGTCGTAAAAGTTAAAAAGAGAGTAAGAATTATGTTTGAACGACTATAATAATCTCAGTTGGAAAATAGGGGTATGTAAGGAGGAGGAGGATCATAAAGGGTGATTTTGGTGGTTAAGTGGAAAAATAGGAGGAAATGAAATAGTAAATAAAAAATGGGAGTTCAGGGTCCAGAACACTGAAGATATAGCATTATAAGCTACCACCGTATTTGACAAAGCGGTTGCAAATATTTAATTCAACACAAAAAATAACAAAGCAAAAAGAAAAAACTAAAGTTTTTTGTGGTATTTAGATGAAAGATGATGCAAATATATCTGTTAAGTAGAGTATGCTGGAGAAAGAGGTATGTAAATATAATTTCAATACCTAAAACATTAAATAAAACTGTGGTTTTCGGGTTTAAAATACGACAGTCGATGTTTTGACTGCATTTCATTAATCGCGACCACAGACAGACTAGGTGAAATTATTTATCAGTTGTTATTGTAGAGTAATAGATAAGAGAATTGCAATAATGAATACAAAATAACCACAATATAGATTATTTTTGGTATAAGGTAAGGGCTAGTTTAAAAAGAACAGTGAAGGATGTTTTGGAATGGCAGTTAAGGGAAATGAGCTCCTGAAGGATATAAAGAATATCATGAATATAAAAAAAATTACGAATAAACAAGTTGCCATCGTAGTAACTTAAGCACAGGCTCGCCTAATTAAGTCATTAGACTGTCCTGATAGGCAAAAGCTATTGATTTATTAACATTAACAATATATTAAGTCATAGCAAAAAGTTTAAGAATTGTTACTTTAAAGTCAGGATATATTTATACGCTAGTTAGTAACTTTCAGTTCATCACCCGCATTTGATTACATTCTTAAAAGACTGCTTATGTGTATCATTAGTTTATTATGCTAACCTAACAAAAAATAAGCAATATACAAATAAAGTGAGTTCGCGTGGCTGTATGACCTGAAAAAGAAAACCTCTAACATGCACGACCCGATAATGTAAAACACGATTAAAGAAATAATTCGAATATATAGTAAACTTACCTAGAAAAAAGTTAAAAAGTAAAAGATCATAATTTATATTATTCAAGATTACACTGAACTATTTAAAATTTACATAAATCTTCTCATACTTTAATGTAGGCAACACTTTTAAATTACATTCTTTAGTTGTCATGGCGTTTTTCATATTATTATAGCAAAATTACTATGACCTAGATTATAGGCTGTAGGCTTATAACTGCTCATTAAGCCACTACTGTGTACTAAAAGTCTTCCGTTATTACTGATTTTAACCACTGATTATGTGTTCATGCAATGGAGTTATTTTTTCGTTTGATATTTTCTAAACATTATTATATAAAGTATATGTTTTAGATACATACAGCTTATACTTAAAAAAAATCTTACTTTAATTACATATCTGCATCAAGTTAAAAGTATTATTAACCAGTATACCAACATATTTCAATATCAATAACATAATTTTGTTGGTAAAAGCAAGATGAATGTTCTAAATTAACCCACAAATATATAAATTATGCACGAATTAATTAAAAATGTCAGCTTCGGTATCACCTCTATTAATATCGGTCAAAACCTATTTAGGAATGGTGGAATATTAATTATTTATTTACAAAAAAAAATGTAACCAACATCGATATTGAATATGCCATCCATCATATTTTAATAATTAACGAATAATGTCGTATAAAATGTGAATGAAATATTTTAAAAATTCATCACTTTTAAGCATAATCAATATTTCATATCAATATTTAGATATCTTCCAACCTTCCTTAATAAAAGTTGTTTTAGTAATTTCTATCAAACAGAAAAAAATATTTACTTTTTTGTACATACATAACTATCCAGCAAATTTAATTATTTCGTCTATCTATTGAACACAGTCATTTTTAGATTTTTTCAATATCATTTAATATGTCACTTGTTGTTAAAATATGTGTTACTATTTGGAAGGAAATGATTTTAGAAAATACATTTAGAAAGACAAGTTTTCATAGTTACAAAACTTAGATAGTTCCCTTTTAAGTAAGTCTATAATTAGACTATATGTGAGCCTCTTACTGTTGTATATCAATAGAATATCTAATCAATAGCATTGTCACTACAAATAACCTTCACTTTGTTGATATTATTGTTTCTTTATAACTGGTAATCTTGCAAATTTAACAAAGCAAGGGAGCAGTCGTAGATTATATCACAGACAACTGTTTTTTTGTTTCTTGTTGAAAAATATTTACAAGAATCTTATTTCCTTAATGTGTAATGACAACATTTATCTTAATTTGAAAATTACTCATTATTTATACAAAACTTTTTCGTAATATGGTAGGAAGATCCGAAATATTAGTTAAGTGTAAATGTTAACTAAAATAAAAAATCTTAAGGTGCTCAAATAGTTTCGACAAATAGAAATACTCTTTAAGGATGTTATTAATTTATTTTAGATAATATATAATTATAAATGTACTTAATTTTATAATATAGCTTATTTGTATATTTTTTATATTTAAATAAATCATATGTGTATGAAAAATATGTACATACAGAGTATGTAATAGAAATAATCTACATATATATTCTAGCTAATTAGAATTATACATCAAAGCTTTACCAGTATATTGTCCTGATTTTCAACTGTGAAATAGATGTTATAAAAATCTGTTTCTTGTATATTGTAAAGGTAAGAAATAATTTAAAAAAAGTAAAAAATGTAGGTCAAATCGTGTTCTTATTAAGTTAATTTCTTCGTCTACTTCTTGGAAGGCTTGACGAAAAAGAGTTGTTGAGTTATAATGCATTGTACTGGCTAAGTTTTTAAATTCTTAACAACGCCATATAAGAATATGGAGAGCAATAATAATAAAGCATTCAGGTGAAATACTCTCGGCCGTATTAAATAGTATTAAAGCCAATGAAGTGATAATTAATCTTCCGATATATTGACAGTTGGTATATGATTATAGGTACATAGTAAATGAAATGTTAATGGAGATTACACCGATAGCATGAAAGATACATAACTAAATATACATATTATGTATGTATATTTCAATTTTAGTTACAAGTGACAACCGTAAATCTGTTCTAAACGGACAAACATGTTTTTTTTCTCTATCATGAAAACGCATTATTTAAATCTTAAAAACCAATATAGGATGCTGTCACTGAATACAAATTTGTTGTCATTTAAATATAAAAAAGTTATAAATTTTAGGTTAAATAAATTAAAGGAAAAGGACAGAATACGTATTTATCAAACAAAACAACTTATCAAACAAGAAGAAAACTAGCTTTCGTTTTTTATTAGTTATAAAATACTTGTTTTTCAAATAAAACAATCTTCTTTGTTAAAAATAATAGTTAGAGCTCTTCTCTTTAGTATTGTCCTTATTGTCTTGAAACAGAAAATCGAGTTTCGAGTATTCCATGTAGAAGCGATGTCAGCATATTTCCGGGTCACGTACACTCATATTATAAAGTCCCATTTTACAATGAAATTTTCTTTCAGAATTGCCAAAGAGTGTAAATTTTATAACACGTATAGAAATTCTTTTTCTTTAAAGATATGATAAGATTCTACCAAATCAAGAAAACGCTTCTGTCGCCAACTAACAATTACAGCGTTTTGGTATCCCCGTGTATTTTTATTAGAAAGTAGTTTTTATCTTCAACCAAGGCAAATTTTTGAAATTGTCAAATGAATCCAGTAGGGTAAATATTCAGTACTCATTATATTCTTTATTGAGCTAAATGCTTGATTTTTTACCTAAAAATCGTTTGACTTAATTAGCCTCATAAATTTTATCATCGGAACCTAAACTTCATCCTATATTTCCCAAAAATAGCCCAATTTAAAATCACTGTTTATTATCTAAATCGATATTCGGAAGGTTTTATCCTATCATCCAACTAGAAGCTACAGTCTCATTCTAGATTTTGACCACTGTACCCTCCATTCGGCTAGGTCAAGAAGGTCAAATGATTTAGAAGAAAAGAGTATGAAGACTGCGTATGCAGTTTATGTATCTGAAATGGAATTACTATGAAAGAATAGAAATTACTGTGTCTTTTTTACTTCGTTTTGTTTATTGAATAGTATTTCTTTTACGAATTAAGATATAAATAGCATACATAAATTTTACGTATGGTGTCTTTTTGCTTTCCTTTTGAACATTTCAAGAGAAGTTAATTTTACTCGTAAATCATTTGTTAATTTTGTTTAGCTTAGGTGCTAGTAAATATTATAGAAACAGGTAAATTGACATTATAATAAATATATTCTTCTTTATCTTATTTATAATTCTACTAAACTTACATTAAATATTAATTTTTATTATTTTAAGCTAGTTACCGCCAAACGTAAGCATGCGACGTATTATTACTAGTAGTTGCCGTTTATAATTGATACGATTACTGCTGATATTTTTAATAAAGCCGGACTATCAAAATTCGCTGAATGAATGTCTCTCCCAAAGCTACTCACCTGTCTCGATCCTGGAAACAGGTGGATACCTGTTTCCAGCCACTACCCGCGACCCATCCGTCTACCATCGTGCCGGGCATCCTAGGACACAATTACCTAAATGTGGTAATTCAAAGAGCGATATCGGGAATTTTAGATCACTAGTGTATGAGTGTACCTACTCGGCATTGGCCGTTGATGTTGATACCATTTTTTAATCGACGTCTTTCGAAGATGGCCTCCAATGCATTGGTAAATAATTTCCGACGAATAAAATATCCTTCGTTATAATATGATATTGGATTGGTTTTCATGACCAATTGGTAATACATATATTACACCCATCATAAGTTTTGGTGTAATCTAAAATTTTAATCACAGCGATAGTATACCAATTTAAATTTATAAGTTCTTTTATTGATATAGATTTACCAAGAATCATTAACATACATTAAAGATAGATATTGATAAAATCTGATGTGAAAACGTTTTTGAATACCTGGGCAATTTTATAGGAAATATCCAACGTTTAAAAAATGTGCTTTCCTGTTCTTATTAATTCCCGCAATTGAATTATAAGTATTCCGAATGGCGTAAATAGATTTATAAAATTAATTTAAAAACAGAAAGTTGAACACAGATTTTTAATAACAAGTATACCTACCATATACAGTACAGCATAAATATATATATTATTAAGTCCAGCACATGAACGGATGACTGGCCCGGACTAACTGGCCCGAGCACAGATTGTTGCAATAACTCATAAACTCCTGTAACTTTTAGAAAATAAATCAAAAATAATATTGGTAAAAGTTATAAGACATTAATTTTGAAACATTGATAACTATAAATGCATATGATTTTAAATCGATGTTTCATTTCCAGTTATATGTAGTAAGAGTCAAAATAAAGTCTTTTATCTATACTAACAACAAGAATACATAAATTATTACGACTCTAAACGACATAAAGATACAAATGACCTTTAGCTCTTTGCTTATAAGAGGTAAAGTCAGCGTTTTATTAAATTAATTACATTATTGTTACATCAAATCCATCAGTTTAATAAATTATTTAAACCAGAACCCAAATCTAATTATTCATTGGTAGATGTCAAAAATATTAAAAGGTATAAAAAAATAAATTATGAAATATAGCTTCCAAATGAATTCTTGTTAAATATGGTATTACTTAATTTGCGAGATCAAAGCTGATTTTTTATTGATTTTCACTTTTTTAATGACATTTCCATAACAGAATACTAATTAAATTTTTAAGTCGTTATAACTTATCGTATAATGGATGTTTGATTTTTTTCGTTTTGTTTTTATCATATCAACGTTGTACGTGTTATGGGGTAATAAAAATAATTTCTGACTCTGGCTGGATCAACAGAGCGATAGTATAAAGTTTGATTATAATCATAATATAATATATAAAATTCCTTTCTTTAAAACTTTAAATCCCTCGATCTTGACTTCAATTAGTTAAAAATATACTCTAATAGTATCTAATAGTAACGTGCATTTTTTTTTTCAATAAATAAATAAACTTAATCAAGGCTAATCTTTTTAATTAAGATATTTAAAAGATACACCTTGTCTTATTTTTTTATGTAAATAGCTACGAAGGATATTATATAGATTTTCATAGCAACGTTACTTATAGAACTATGACTACACATTATATTAAAAAATAAAAAGGCATGTTGTAGAAAATGCTCTGCATATTTAAATAATTTATAGATAGCCCTACAAGTGAGGCGGAGAAATTTTACGCTAGCGATTATTTATTTATTAGAAACTAGTATTATTTTCAAGATTAAGTAACAAGTTTCTTGATATTTCACTTATCTGATAACATTAAGCTACTCTTAAGAATTAATAATATAATATATAATTTTTCATTAAAAAAAATAATTTTATAAAGTGCAATCGTAATTAAGCTTCAATTTTATTTTAATATATTAAAAAATAACTCTCGTCTTACACGTTAAAAAAATGCAAATTATAACGTGTCTTCTGAAAAATATATTAATATAGTGAGTTTATTTCATAAATGACAAAAATATAAAATTATGACAATATGTAATGGTAGAAATATTACGCAAATATGTATGAAAGTGAAAAAAAGTCGCTGCTTATTTTATGTTGAAGTTAAATAAAGATAAATTTTCGGAATTCCTAAATATTTAACTGAACCATAATTTCAAACATTAATCATTGTTAAGCTTAAAACAAGTTTTATCAATTACGTCGCCTTATCATGTTTTGGCAGCATACGACACGTTATATAGTGCTGATCACATTTCATGCTTGATCCGGTAAATCATATATCAGTCAACATTTCCGGCCTGTTATTTGACATGGAACTTGGTTGAAGCGAATAATACGAGTACATTGGTAGTTGTAATTTATTATTTTTAGATAATTGTCATAAGTAAGAAGTGAATAAGCTAGATAAATGTATAAATTAAATTAGTTACACTACAGTTTATTGAGCATTTTATAGTTTGACCTATTTTTCTCATCACCTCTCATTTGATATATTTGTACTCGAAGCTCACTACTCGTCACTGACAACATCTGTAAAACTCCCCAAACTTTTTCAACAGTCATTTAATCTCTATGCTATTAAAACTTTTGAAAATTTTATAAAACAGCGAATAATACCCAGATGAGTTGCAAATACAACTAGGAGTTCAACCAACGGTATCTTTTAACTCTCTGAATTTATTTTAATAGCGTGAAATTTTGAATTAGTGACGTACTTTTCTTCTCAATATTATATTCTTATAATTATCTGCCTTGTTCCTTAACTATTTCACTTTAAATAGATGTTTTAATTCAAATCCTTTTAAAATTTTGGAGTGTATTTGAGTTTAAAATTATTTATGGGTTTTATCCTCAATTTTTTTATATGAAAATTTTGATTTATGTCACATTTTTTGAAAAATATGTTCTTAAATCATATAATATACAAACAGCATCGAAGATTTATCATAACAATAGTGAAGCCACTATAACACTGGTATCACTATACGTTTTTGGTTTTAAAATTTTCATTCCTTAGTATTTGTTCTGAAAATGCAATTTCTCTATATATATATATATATCGCTGCAAAAGGCTTAGATTAAAACAGATAATGGAGAATTATAAGTGGTATTAAAAGAGAATCCATTTCATTTACTGTCAGAATTCGGCAAAATTCTTTGTAAGTGACAAAACTTTTTTTATTCATTTCAAACAAATGAGTAAAGCGAATGGATTCAGTAAATAAGAATGATATGCAAAACGTTGGTATGGAGCAGTGAGTTACTTTATGCATGACCTATTTTCATAACAAGAAGTCTTGCAGGTTTCATTAAAACTTATGTAGAAGAAATATATTAATGGAAAGTAATAATTAAAAAAAAACAAAAAGTGCAGTAAGTTTTATCTGAAGTAAAACCTTTACAAATTAATATAATAGTTTTTTACAACTAAATGCTTCTAATGTAAATTTTTTGTTGAATGATAAATTTAGCTCTATTATGAAGGTACGGTTGATAAATAATTCGTTTTATTAAAATTATACCGCACCGTAATCGGTTTACGTGCGGGTTTCAACATATGCGATTAAAACAGCAATATAATACAGTGAATAAATATTTTTGAGACAGTTTTAATAATTAAAATTATTACAAGCAAGATAAAATGAAATCTAAAGAGAAAATATAAATAACGAAGTAAACTTTTGCTTTTAATACTTAAGCAAAATAAATGTTTTTGCCTAATTTAAATATATACTTACTATTCAAAAGTATCAAATAATAGAAAAACACACAAAATTTTATAATATATATAATCGCAGTTTATTTTCTTTTCAACCGACTTTAAAAAGGAGGAGGTTCTCAATTCGTGTATATAATTTTTTTATATTTGTTACCTCGAACTTGATTATGGTGACCAATCCTGGCGCGTTCTGAGTCATGTTCTTATATCACAAATTTTATATTTTTTTATTGTTAATAATTAATTGAAAATAAGTTTTTTAAAGGTTATCGCATCAATTATAAATATATACATAATATATTTCAAAGTTTTGAAATAAATAAACGAATTCGATTTTTTTTTCAAAAATCCAATTATGCATTACAAATTTCACCTAATATATTGGTTCTGAGGGTAATAAAAATATCACAATTTTTACAGGACACCATTTTTTCAATCAATACCTCTATAATTACATCACCGAGGTGTTTAGTGACAAATGAGAATTTGTGGCTCATAAATATCAGATAAAATTGGTCATGCAAAAAATTTAATTGTATTATTCAGGTATTGAATAGTAAACAAAAATTTGTAATAATATCTCAATTAAAGACAAAACATTTTTGTAATATATTTTTAGACATTAAAAAAGCCTTGAAAGCATTAAGTGAATATATTGGACATTTTATTCGAAATGCCGTCATATTTTATTTTTATTAATAATGGTTTTACACTAGAAAAAATTTGTTTTATACTTTTTTATTAACATTACGTTTTAAATATTTTGTACGAGTCTGTACATAAACAAAATACGTGTGCAAACCATACTGTCGGAGCTTATTTATAATGTACAAGTTTTTCTTTTCCCTCGTGAAACAAAATGGTTCGATGAATTTTAACCAAAGCAGATAACATAAAATATTCTTAGAACTTATACATTTTTATTAGACCAAAAAAACTTTTTAAATTTTTCTAGTTAGTCTCCGATGGAGATAATTTAGAATATCATAATATTATTTCATATACCTTATTCTATTTTTAATCTTCTCCGATGCATTTTTTTCTATATTTAACCAGTCTGTCTGCCTTTGTATTCTTAAATGCTATTAAAAGAAAATTGAATTCAATAGAATAATATTGGAAGACAGGAACTAAAAACCATAAAATATTTTTTCCATTAAACTCTACTTCCTGACCTTTTTTTTCTTTTTGATGACGCAGGGAAACTCTTTTTACGAGCCGTCCAATCGGCCTTGACCTATTTCCTAACCTAACCTATCTAACAATAAATTCAAAATGTCTGTAAAAAAATCGACTAAACACCTAATGATAACGCTTAATAATT